AAAACAGGGGGGGGGGGGGGATTTCTCCACAGTAGGTGATTAGAGTAAAAGGCTAGCTGCTCCTTTTTAAAAAGGCTGTGACTCAGCCATTGCGGATGCTAGTGGGAATATTTGGTTCTCGAACGAGGGGTTCTTAATCCATTAGTCACACTGAAGCAGTGAAAACATTCCAATACAGCGTGATTGTGCCATGGCCAAAGAATTCTTCCTAACTTCAAAAGTTATAAAAGCATTCTTCTCCCTTCTTCTCCATGATGCTATGATACATTTATACCCCAGCTTATGTCATCTCTACATCTCTTCCATTCCACCAGTTACATAGCGCGGCAGCTCAGTGCATCCAGTCGTCTGCAGGAAGTTTGCTCGCCTAGCTTGTAGTGTGCTGTGCATGTCTAAGAATATTTCCCCACGTTCTTGGGGTCTTTGCCTACTGATAAGAGCTGTGCTCAGCTGACTGAAACTGCTTCTGAAAGCTTCCGGCTGTTCCGCCAGCTCCTAGGGCCCAAGAGTTCATTCCCAAGCAAGCAGACCAAACCGCATTATAAAATGGTGTTAGTCCCCAGGGGTCATTTCGTAGAAAAAGAGGTGCAGGAGCTCATTTGCATACGCCACACCCCCTGACATCACCGGAAGTGTGTCAGAAGGCAACCCCCCCCGCTGAGGTCCCCACTGGACTCTTTTGGATTGCTAGCTATTGGGGGGGGGGACACACAGATCTGTCCTCACAGAGGAGGGAGAGCTTGTACCTGAATAAAACTTGGTCTTAAAGGGGCCACTGGACTGTTTTGAATTGCTGGCTATGGGGTGGGGGCACAGATCTGCCCTCACAGAGGAGGAAGAGCTTGTACCTGAATAAAACTTGGTCTTAAAGGTGCCACTGGACTGTTTTGGATTGCTAGCTATTGGGGGGGGACACACACAGATCTGTCCTCACAGAGGAGGGAGAGCTTGTACCTGAAGGCGGGATGGGGGGGCTCTGCAACTTACCTGGCTGCTTCTTGCACCTCGTGGCCCAATTGAGGGCTGCTGGGAGCAGGGGGCGGGGCTTGTTGTATGTGCCTGCCCCCTGGGCTCCTTACTGCCGGAGCTCCGCTCCTGTGCGCTCCCGCAGGAAATGACCCATGGTCCTGTTAAAGGATCATTTTTTCTTCAGTGGGATAACTATCAAAGGCATGCTTGATACTCTGTTGTTACCTTGAGAAAAGTATCTTAACCTGGCCTCCAACTGCTTGTTGAGGTTGTTCTTGGAGTAGCATGGAGCTTTATGTCATTTATACCACACCTTTCTCCCAAATGGAGACCCAGAGAGGCTTAAGACATGTTATCTTCTCCTGCATTTTAGCCTCATAACAATCCTGTGAGGTAGGTCAGGTCTTGAGCGTGTGTGACTGGCCCAAGGTCACCCAACAAGTTTCCACAACTGTGCAGAGAGCTGAATCTGAGTTCTCATAGATCCTAGTCTGACACTAACCACTACACCACAAAGTTTGAGTCCAGTGACACCTTTAAGACCAACAAAGTTTGATTCTGGGTATAAGCTTTCGTGGGCATGCACGCTACATAAGATACAACATAGCACTACAGAGGCTACATAACAGATACATAGTGTGCATGCACGTTGCGCGCGCACAGAATTAAACCTTGTTGGTCTTAAAGGTGTTCTTTTGCTTTGGACCAACATGGCCACCAGCCTGAACTCACTACACCATAGTATCTTTCCTTTTAAAATGCAGGGGTCATTTCCTGCGGGAACGCACAGGAGCAGAGTTCCGACAGTAAGGAGCCCAGGGGCCGGGCACATGCAACAAGCCCTGCCCACTGCTCCCAGCAAGAGGAGCAAGAAGCAGCCAGGTAAGTTGCAGAGCCCCCCCCCCCCCCTTCCGGCACAAGACCCCCTTTGCAGATCTGCACGTCCCCCCCACAGCTAGCAATCCAAAACAGTCCAGTGGAGCCTGAGCGGTGGGTGTTGCCTTCTGACACACTTCCGGTGATGTCAGGGGGTGTGGCATATGCAAATAAGTTATGCTAATGAGCTGCACCTCTTTTTCTACGAAATGACCCCTTTTAAAATGCATGCATTAAGGGGATAGATTGAGGTGGGTAGCCCTGTCTGAGTGAAGCGGCAGAACAAAGTTTTGAGTCCGGTGGCACCTTGTAAGACCAACAAAGCTTTATTCTGGGTACAAGCTTCCATGCGCATCGTGTAGACACACACACTGTCGTATCTGAAGAAGTGTGCATGCACGCGAATCAAACGTCGGTGGTCTCCAAGGTGGCAACGGGACTCCCACCTCGTCCTGCCGCTTCAACAGGCAATAGCGTTCCCCCCTCCCCGCAGTACACAATGGTGCAGTCCGTTTTGCCAAAACCCCCCTAATAGTCCCACCCTAATCCTCCTCCTGTTCAGCTCGTTAGCCAGAACGGGGCCGTGCGCTCCTCCGACCCGGCAGGGGCCACTGTCGCTTCGTCCTACTTCCTCTCCTAACCGGAAGTGGCCGTTGCGGGGGGCGACCACCGCCACCACCGCTCGGCTTCTCGGCCTAGGCCTCGCCGCCCCCGCGATGTCGCAGCCGCCGCCGCCGCCGTTCCCCTCGCGCTTCCCGCCGCGCTGCTTCCCGCCCGCGGGGCCCCCTCC